TTGTTTATGTATCCCACAGTGTTTTTTAAAATGTGTCTTGGATCTACGCTAGGTGCTGGGGATACAGCAATTAATTACTAAGGTTAACTAACCACTGAGATGACCAAGAGAGTATTCCCTGCTCTCACTCTGATTCCAGAATAATGATGGCATTAGACGATAAAGAGGCGATTCCTGCGTGCTGGGAATAATTCTGTGATGGAATTTGGGGAACCAAAGTATTGTAGAGGCACACCATGGTGGAGGTGGTCCAAAACCAGAATGGGGTGAGGAGGGCATCCGGACTTACCATAACTTCGCAAAAAGACAGGACAGAAATAACGTTCCATTCCATTTCAGAGATGAACAAGCAGCCCAGGGAGGTCAGATGACCCAGAGCCAATAACAGGGAAGCGATCGAGCCCAAGCCGCCAACCCTTACTCCTTCCCCTCTTCCTGCACAATCATATCGTCACCAAAATCACTGCTGTCACTTCCTCATCATCTTCATCACCGTCATTATCATCACCATCGTTACAGTAAGAAATTTAACGGGACATGTATATCCCACAACTTCAGTTTATACCCAAAAATAGAGAAACAGTAAACTAGCACCAAAACACCAGTGAATGAAACAATGACGTTACCTAGTCATGACTGTAGAGTATCACAGGGGTTTATGGTTGCTGTGGGTTCATCAAGTGACTAGAACCGGGCAAGTTTGCAACGGGCATGTTTCAAGGAATAGATAAATGTCGAGGAGGGTTTAAAAAAGAATCAGAAGGGGGCACCTGGGTGGCTCAATCAGGTAAGCATCTACCTTCAGCTCAGGTCATGATCTCAGAGTCCTGGGATCGGGGCCCTCGTGGGGCTCCCTGCTCGGCGGGGAGCCTGCTTCTCCCTCTGCCCTTCCCCACCTCTCGTGTTCACACTCTCTGTCTCTCTCTCTCTCAAATAAATAAGTAAAATCTTTTAAATAAATAAATAAGAATCAGAGGATTGTGTGGCAAAGACTGAAGGAAAAGGGATTGGAGATGCAAGGAGCACCTTAGCTGATGGCAGATGGCAGCTGGTGAAATGTGGCCACGGTGTGGCCCCTGCATCAGGCATACAGACTGAGGTGGAGCTAGGGAGAACATTCCGGTCAGGTGAAACCATGATGAGACTTGCCACCTCGAAGAGGCCCTGTGATTTTCTTCAGATGTACATTTCTTCCGATTGTATGAATGTAAAAAAAGGAATTACAGAGGTCAAAGGGAAGGACCTAAGATGATTTAGGAAAGTAGCAAGAGCAAGTTTTGTCTGAATTATCAAAAATCTCATCCAAGGGAAGGTCTAGGAGAGTCTGTCACATTTTTTGCGGTCACAAGATTATGACCATTTTTGCTCCTTGCTTAGAAAGTGTTCTGTTTCTAGCATTACTCCAAAGTATTTTTTAAGTGCCTAGTGTTTTGGTCTACTCCCCCTGTCACAGCTCCCTGTGACATCTTGCTTTTTCCTTGAAACTGGGAATATCTTAGTTAGTCTATTAAAAACATGAGGATTCTGAGCCTTCCTGTATGATAACAGCTGGTAATAATTAGGCAAACGTTGGTTTACCTCTTCAGATGTTCAAATTTAATTTAAATGTTGGAATAATTACTACTACAGACTTCAACAAGCAAACATTTAAAAACATTTTGGTGTGGCCCCTGAGACCCCAAAGTCCTTTGCTTTCCCAGAGAACTGATTTTCGACTGTGGATGTCTAAGTGGCCTTTAAAATGCCCAACCAAACTCTGAACTGTCATATTAGCTGGGGTAAGAGATAAGGAGTAAGAAAAGTATCCAATCATCCAACCACATTTCTGCTTTTTTTGTGCAAGCTTCAGAGGAAACACAGTCACTCAATAAAGTCCTTCTGTTTCTCTTTCCCTCCCTCCCTCCCTCTCTTTCTCCCCATTCGTCCAGAGAGGGGAACCCTAAACCCTTTGGAGCCCCGCCAGCAACACCAAAAAAATCTCTTGACTATTTTCCCAGGGAATTCCTGCCTTAAATGTCAGCAGAGCACAACTCCTCAGCCAAGGCAGAGTCCGCCTGGATCTGAATCAAGGAAAATGTGCCTGTGGTACCAAACGGGAGACCCTAGATCCATGGGGTATGGGGGCAGGGCCAGAGATTATCTATGGAAGTTTCCACGTCCACTGGAAATACCCCAGTTCCCTCCGCTTCACCCCACTGAGAGATGGGAGATGAGGCAAGCATTTTGGTTCCTTGCTGCTTTTTTGATTATTTTTATTTCACTCTTCTGGTAGTGAACTTTATTTCTGGAAGCCACTCTGCATTGTAACAGTAAGGCAACATCTCTTTGAAAAGGGAACAAAGCTCTATCAAAGCCCCTTGTTGTGGGGGTTGTGGTTTCGGCTGCTGATGTTTTTCTATTTATTTGTTTGTTTTAAATGAACATACTGATAGAGAAGTGCTCTGGGGGGAATTCATGACGCTGAGATTCATGAAAAGCAAAATAAGATTTATGACTTGCGATTGGATCTGCCCCTGCCAGCCTGGAGACACTGCCCGTCTGGTACTGAGGCATCGCAGGAGTTTTTTAGTGCTTTTGTGTTCGTCTTCAATCTCTGAGTATATGAAGAAATACTAAAAGTTCTGACGGCAAGGGTGGGAGAAGGAGTCCACAAACCCCAAAGATACACATCATCACCAAAAGAAAACAGTAGGGTGTGCTACATTAAAAATTCGGAAGCAGAGTGTGTCCATCAGCTGGGTTTTGCTGAGTACTCTTGAAATTTTCATCTACTCTTCTCTCATTTTTCTCCTAGAACACTGCTCTTAAATTAATGTGCCATGTTACTATCCTCCCCCAAAGATCACAGCGCTATACAGTAAGAAAGTCAGGAAGATGGCATCAGGAAATTGTTATTCCATTTTTAAAGGAATTAGGCCCTTTTCAAGTTACCAATGGGGGGGAAAACATTAGATTCCAGGGCGCCTGGGTGGCTCAGTCAGGCGTCTGTCTTCGGCTCAGGTCATGATCCCAGGGTCCTGGGATCGAGTCCCACATGGGGCTCCTTGCTCAACAGGGTGTCTGCTTTTCCCTCTCCCTCTGCCACTCCCCCTGCTTGTGCTCTCTCATGCTCTCTCTTTCTCTCAAATAAATAAAACCTTAAAAAAAATTTAGATTCCAAATCTCACTTGGCCCTGGGCCCAGGCCAGTTCAAAACTGATCAACGTAGAAGCTGTTCCTTGTATTCACCAAGGCTTCCACCTCATATTGCCCACACCATCCTCACAAGCGCATCAAAGCTACTTTCTTCCATCATTATCCTGCATGCATTGCCCCAGACAATCCTATTGGAAGTTCTGTCCCTAGTCCAAAGAAAAGTCAGGCAAGCAGCTAATTATTGGGCAGGGCTGAAAGGGTTGCAGGAGAACCAACAACACCACCGCAAATATTTAAAAAGATAGTAAAAAACACCTAATAAGAAAAACTACCTCCAGTAGGTGAACAGTTAATCCCGGGTCAATTTTCAGCCACTCTGCTGAGAGTACTAATAAGTGCTCGAGCTGGTGCCAATTAGGGTGGCCCCTCCCTTGATGGGAATAACCATCCCTTAGGAACTGACTGTCAACACACGCTACCAGGGCAGTGATCAGCCAGCCAGAAGAAAGGGAAAGAGTCTGAGAAACCGTGGTAACCGAGTTGTGCTGGCACTTTGTAAATTGGTGACGGGAACTTGCCAATGCCAGGGAGTGAATGTTAATGAGCTTAGGGCAACCTGCAAAGAGTGGACCTGAAAAATGTCCTCTCAATGACTGGTGTCCCAAGGGAGCATCAGTCATGGTGGGTTCCTGTGGAGAAGACCACAGGCTTCATTCACCAGAAAGAACCTAAAAGCTGCAGCATCTGTCCTTGGGTTCACAGACCTCACATTCACTTCTGACTCAATGGTCTTAGGGTCAGGGCGATTAGCACATCTGTCTAGAAAATCAAAGTTTTCAAATTTTTTAAAAACATTTGTGACCCGTTTTTTTTTTTTTAATCGCAGTGTAAAGTCTGAATGATAAATGGCTTTAAGAGTCAACTTGAAATGATTTAAGTGTTCTTTGTGGATTCACATCAATGCCCCCTTCCCCCTCTCAACAGAATTTACTCCTACCTTCAGGGAGCACATTTTTAAAAGGCTGACCCCCTAACCACCATGGACAACCATCTGTGTGCAACCACATTCTTAAGGTTGTAAATTCAGTCTCTGTTATCTGAGAATGCTTGAGACAACAATAAAATGCCCCTCTGAAATTCACACTCAAAATTTTAATTCCTCTTTCTAATAGCTTTTCACCCATTCCCAAATCTCAAGTCCGCAAAGGAGACAAGAAAACAAAACAAAAAAAAAATTGTAATTGTGATGCATTCATTCCGCACCAGGCCCCACAAACGACGTTGTCAATCTTGTCTCTAGGTTTACAGATATTAAATTTACCTACAATTTCCAAAAATTTTGTCCTCACCCAACCTCCATATTTTTAAATTTGCTACTTCTTACCCAACAATTGTTATTAATCTAACAGTCAGTGGAGCACCCTGAAATAGTCTTATTTCCTATTTTTCCTATTTTCCTATTATCCAAATCAGTGCCCCCCTGGCTACAAATGGACTTACCTATTGCGCTTAAAATGCTACTTCTCAGATCAAAAACTTCAAAAGAACCCACTGGATATTTAACCCCTGAAAAGCAAGTGCACTACAGCCCAGATCTCAACCCATCTCAACTGCTGGATAATACAAACTTGTTTTCTCATAGGTGCCCAATTTCAACCACAACACATAACCAAACAAGACAAATTCTCAGCAATTCTTTGTGGTGAGAAGAATCGAAATAAAACTGGAGGAAATTCTCAATTTCAAAGATTCCCAGCTAAAGAAATACAATGTAAGCAAACATTTTGTGTTCCTGAAATGCCCTGTGTCTACAGTGATCAGGTAGAGAAAAGTTATTTCAAGTTCAAATATAACTTGCCGATTGCCACATGGTGCAGAGTCTTTCCACCCCTACACTCCAAAAACCCAATCAGACAAGTGGCCGTAATCTGACTCCCAGTGCACTGGGAGCTGCAGGGCAGGCAATGAGAGCCTCACTCTGGCCAGGGAAGGCATGAGTGGCAGACCCGCAGCAAGGCAGTGGGGGTAAGTCCTTCTTTGCCTTAAGGGAACAAAGCGCGAGCCAAAAGATGAAACTCTGACTCTTTTATTATAGATATATGTGCCTTCTCAGACAGAATCTAGAAGGAAACTGTAAGGCAGGCAGATGATTCTTTTCGATCTGGGTACTGGGCATAATCATAAGAGAGACATAGAGAAGGGAGAAGAAAAAAAAGGATGCTTTGTTGCAAAATCCTCCAAATATTCGAGACCTGTGCATGCACAGGGAAATTACCCTATGGAGGTAAATCTATCTGCAGTATTTTTCTTCAGAAAAATTACTCACCGGAAAGGTCAGCTGTCCAGAAGTGGATCAGGCTGTGTGTTCAGCTAGAAAATAATGTGTCCGGTTCAGTACAACCCGGGCACATCAACAAACCCCCTTTGTTCTGGGGCGAGAGAAGCAAAACAAGTAGTGTTGATCCATTTTCCGTGAGTGTGAACACATAAGGGAATATTGCTGATAATAACAGGAGCTATGACAGACTCTGCCCGCCAAGGTGAGCACCTGGAAGGTCAGGGCTATGTATGTGCTGCCTGGGAACTTTGGGGTTTGCAGCTAACTGAAGCTGTTCGCTCTGCCCTGGAAGGACATCAGATTCTGTGGGTTTTCCAAAAAAGTTAAAGCACTGTTAAGGAGCATATTTATCTATTCGGGGGCGGGGGTTGATGTTGTTGTTGTTTTAATTCCTCTAGCTGATGAAAATTTGAAGCTGAAAGAGCAACTGAGTTTCTTAAATTAGGTCTCTGGAGGGGCAGGAGTGAACAGGAAGGGAGACAGAAATTGGGGGGCCGGGCAAAGTGAGGGAGCCAGGGTATAGCCAGGAGGTGGCCTTTTGCCAGGGCCCGCTTCTCTTGGTGGCATGTGGTGCTGAAAAGGGACCTGGGGTGTCCTGCCCCCCGCCCCCCAGCCTCCTTGGTTTCCTGCTTTGCCCTCTTCCTATCTCCCCGTTGAGGATATTTTTAATGTCCCTCTCAGGGCATACTCCCTGCCCCATTCCAAGGGCTGTTTGGGCTCTTTATTTTCTCTTCCTCTAGGGAATATGATGCCATTGTCCTCCCAGCTGGGCTTTCTTGTAATTACTTGGAGGAGTTCACAAGCAGGGGACACCAAGGACAGGGCTGGCTGTCCCCCTTCTGGAGCCACCCCACCTTGGGTGGAAAATTGGTTTCTCCTTCCAGCTCTGAAGCAAAGCCCCATATCAAACCAGAGGCTGAGTTGAGATCCTAAAGGTCAAGGGAGAGTTCCCCTAGCCCTTTTTAGCACAGCATTTCCCCACTGCTCATCCAGAACCCAGGCTCCTGGGAAGGGGGGGGGGGGCTCCTTCCTTATACATCAAGGGGAAAGCTGTGGTAACTCTACCCTGTTCAAATACCTGGCTTTCTCTCCTAACCCTTTTCATAGTCCTCTGATCAGAGTCTCTCCACACTCCTTCGCTCTCCCCACTATCACAGGCAAAAGATAAGGGCAAATGCCTTAAATAATGGGGTAACTAGAGTAATTGCCCCCACATTGGGAATTCTAGCCATTTCTTGCCCAAACCAGCAGTTGGCATTAATATCCTCAAACCCCATCCCTTATCAGCTCCAGAGATCCTCAGACAATAAGAGGAAAACAGACCGGAGGAAGAAAATGCTCCCTCCCAACGGCTGTCTTGCTGCACCCCACCCTCCTCCCAGCTCCCCAGCACACCCACAAGGTCCCCCAGAATTGGCGCTCCCGCCGTCTTTCTGGGCCACTCTGAAGGAGGAGAAGGCCACCAAGAAGACGCTGGAGAACAGCCACTCTCCGTGGAGCCTTCTGCTCTGAGGGCCACTGCCCCCTACCCTGCGCCCCCGCCGCTGGTCCCCGCCCTCGGCTGCCCCTGGAGGGCGCAGACCGGGTGCCCGGGGCGCCCACACCCGCCTCCAGGGTCCCTTTGGGGAGGCGTGTCTGAGGGGTCACGTCCGGGGTCGAGAGAGCGTCAGGCACAAGAAGGGACTGTCGCCCAGCCCTGCAAAGCACGGCGGAGGCCAGGATGCAGCCTCCCCCGCGCGGCTGCTTGGAAGCCTGGAACAGGCGCGGGGCGGGGCGGGGCGGGGGCGGGACTGGGGTGGGGCAGGGGCGGGGCCGGGGCTGGTTGGTGGCTGTTTGTCCACCTGGCACCCGCCCGGGGGTGGCCGCTCCCCTGGGGCCCGAGGTTGACACGGCCCAGCGCCGCGCGCCCAGGTCCGCCGGGGAGACGGAGGGAGTGTCCCTGTCGCCGCTCCGGCCCTGCCAGTTCCCACCGCCCCGGCCAGTCACCCTGAGTTCCCCTACCCCGAACGACTTTACCTTCTGCAAAGACCGGCTTCAGCATTCCTGGCCTCCTCGCGGGCCTCTTCCCTAATCCGCAGTCTCTGCTGGGGGAGAGGAGCATCACGCTCCACAAATCCATTTTCAGAGGGCCATTTTGAGCAACAAAGTGCAAAACTGCAAAAGACCTCCCCCCCTTTTTTTTTTATTGCTTTACGTTCAAAATATAAATGGCATGTTGAAAGTACATTGAAACTTAAAAACTTGCTCTGAGGGAATTAACTCTTGCTCTGAGGTAAATATATTCCCTTCTTAATTGTTTAAGAAACTCGATTTAGACATTTTCCTTTCTAGGGACACATCGGTGCAACTGGATGAACTTTGACCGTTAAATAAAAGGAGGCTAGCATCACAATTTGACTGTTAAGGAGACAATTAATTAATTAAGAAGGTTTTCTGGAAGCATTCTTTCTTAATATGCAAATAACCTTTGAGGGGGCCCTTCCCCACAGTCGGGCAAGATTACACGCCTGGAGTCCACCCAAATTCAATTCATGAAACCTGCTTTGGTAAACTGATTAGGATCTGTTTTCTTTTCAGTAAGTGTGGACAATTGTGTAGAAGAGAGAGCATCATGGTGGCCTTCAGAGGGGTCTGGACTCAAGCTTTCTGGAAGGCAGTCACAGCAGAATTTCTGGCTATGCTCATCTTTGTGCTCCTCAGCCTGGGATCTACCATCAACTGGGGGGGAACGGAAAAGCCCCTACCTGTGGACATGGTTCTCATCTCCCTCTGCTTTGGACTCAGCATTGCAACTATGGTGCAGTGCTTCGGCCACATCAGCGGCGGCCACATCAACCCTGCTGTGACAGTGGCCATGGTGTGCACTAGGAAGATTAGCATCGCCAAGTCTGTCTTCTATGTCACGGCCCAGTGCCTGGGCGCCATCATCGGAGCTGGGATTCTCTACCTCGTCACACCTCCCAGTGTGGTGGGGGGCTTGGGGGTCACCACGGTAACATCTTTAGCTCTTACTTTCAAACTAGGACTCCGGGCTTCTTCTAGACCCCTGCTACAGGACACCCCGATAGCCTGAGAGACTTTCCTAAAATTGCTAATTTCTTCCCAGAGAATTTCTGATGACTCTTGATACCCGTGAAAACTGATCCCAGCAACACTGATTGTATCCATATATAATCATTGTTTGTCATCAAGTGACTTGAATATTATTAAGTCTAGGTGGCACAAAAATTGTGTTGGTTTTTTTCCCTGGGTCTCACTCCCATCCCAGTGACTATACTAGACTATATATTTAGCTTAAGCCATTTTTATTATAACTATTTGTTGGTTCGCTAGCAGAAGAAACAATTTTGTTTCTTGTCACTTTCATGAGATTTAAAATGATCTACATCAAGGGTCACACTTAAAAAATATATTGACATTTGATCCTAGCTTTGTCCTTAACTGGTTAGGAACATTCAGGTGTTAGCTCAGCACCAAGATTGATTAAAAAAAACACACACAGTTTAAATTTTAATTGAAATATATATTAATTAATTTAAACCTAATTAATGGATTTAATCATTGCCTTATAAAATTACAAGACTCTCAAGAAACTCCTGTATAAGTTAGGTTCAGCAGTGGCACATTTTGCTTCCTTTGTAGAAAAGGACATTCAGCACAAATTCCCACTTGGTCATTGTAGGAGTAATTAATTATCTGTGATGGCCCAAAATGAGTGGAAATTCATTCCATTTTTTTTGGATGCATGGGGAGCGTCTCACTTGTGGGGTGGAACAGAGGGCTCAAATTAACCATTGCTTTTTCCAATGACGAAGTATGCTTTTCACAATGATAGGTTATCACAGAAAATGTACTCATGCTTCAATTCAAATGGAGCATTTCTCTCTTTCTAGGTTCATGGAAATCTTAATGCTGGTCACGGTCTCCTGGTGGAGTTGATAATCACATTTCAGTTGGTGTTTACTATTTTTGCCAGCTGTGATTCCAAACGGACTGATGTCACTGGTTCAGTAGCTTTAGCAATTGGATTTTCTGTTGCAATTGGACATTTATTTGCGGTAAGTTTCCAAGTCCATTTAAATAATTAATTCATTTCATTTAGCCTCACCCTAGAGCTGGCTTAAAGATCTTGTGTTTATAGCTGTAGTTCTTTAGTATCCAGCCACGTTTGTCCATTTTAGGTGATTATTTTGCTAACTTTATGATGAGAATGTTGATATGGCTGCTAAGATCTTGACAGTTTCTCTAACCGTCTTGGCAAATGGTAGCAAATTGCAGTGAATGCTTCCTGCTCCTAGTCCCGTTTCAGCAATGTCTGAAGTGGTTTTCTTTTTCCCTATAGATCAATTACACCGGTGCCAGCATGAATCCTGCCCGATCCTTTGGACCTGCAGTTATCATGGGAAATTGGGAAAACCACTGGGTAACCATCCTGTTGATAATTCTTGTCCTCCTACACTTGAGGACAATTACCCATGGAGCTCTTTTTTTTTTTTCTTTGCTCGCTAGTTTTCTTACTCCCTCCCAACCTTGACTCCCCACTTTCCTACACCCTTCATAAAGACCAGGGAGAGACTAGCCCAGATCTACTGTAAAACATCACATCTTATATCTGTTCGGGGCCTTCGGGTCTTTCTTTTTTAACAAACGCTGCCCTGGGCACTGTATCTGATAGACTTACCTATGTGGAACAAGTGAAAAATCAAGGTGATTTGGTGAATATGGGGTTTCACTCATTGAAAGTAAAGCCTTCCTGGCAATAACAAAATATACACTTGCAAAAAAAATTAAAAGAAGAAGAAAGAAATGCTTAAAAGCACTGCCCATAGCAAAAATATTTATCTTTTTTGTTTACAAAAACATGAACCCAATTAATAGTATGTGAGTCAGAAACATTTGAACTGCAGATGGAGAGGAATCAATGCTGGGTATGTTTATGCTGTTATCACCATAACCATACTGGAAACATCGATGACTTTCCAAAGAGGTACACTCTCCAGTCTCATGGCCAACCTACTTGCTCATGTGGTGGCAGTGCTTCCAGAGAGTAGCGATATCCATTTTTAAATATCGTGATCCATTTTATTTCAATTGTTTCTTACAACAAAGGAATTTAAATTCCTTAAATGAATAACATGGCAGTGTTAAGGCCACTCCTAGACTAACTTAAAATAACCAATAAAAATATGAGTCTTATGTAAGCCAACCTCAAGTAGGGCAACCTTTGATTGTCACTTATGTGCCATGAATGCTATTTTACAACTTTTATTTTTAATTCATGAATATAACCATATGTCACTTGTGTTTTGGACCCAGCCATGCAAAGAATGTCAACATATACCACCCATGAGATTGGTCATTTTGCCACCGATATTTCCATTTATGTCTCAAAAAATTTGCCACATTAATAGGAATGGAAATTTTTAATGGGCAGTATATAGTTACTTATGGTAAAGGTACAACTGTTAAGTTCAACTTTATTAAATTTGAACTATTTTTGTAATTACAATTTAGACAAATAACAATTTTTAACTTTAGTTATGAAGACTTTAAAATGTGGATGAAAATATATGGCTTTTATTAATCACCTACTGGTTGTGGTAGGCTAGCTAAAATTTGACTAGTAGGAAAATATTTAGCTTGTTGACTGAATTAAAGTTTTCCCCTTATTCCTATTTTATAACAAACTTAATCCCACTGAATACGAAGGGCTCATTCTGTAGCAATGGTTGTGTGGATTTTAGAACTAATTTACAGCATGTTTGCAGATTGATTGATAGACAGAATAACATCAAAATATTAATGGTGAGTTTTCTAGGGAGTGCAATGACACTGTTTTAGTTTTCCTCTTCACACTTTCTATATATCTATATTTTAGCAAGAAAAATTATTGACCTTTGTAAATTTGGAAAGTCATTTTAAAGTATATTATGACTTCTGTTTTGGAATAGCAACCTGAAACTGAGATTTGCTCTTTTTGGGGAGCGTGTAGCCAGATGTCTTCTTTGTAGGAGTTTTGGGGATGCATTGTAATTATTTAGCAGTCCCTTGTCTCCCTTGTGGGAGTCGTAGCATGGCGAATAGAACATATCTAATGAGCTTTTACTAAAGGAACAGAGAGCAAAGACATTTAGAGGAGGGCTCTCATTTCTCCTTTGAACAGGCAGGGAGAAGGTCAACTCTTACATGGTTTCTTTCTGTTGAAGATAAGGAGCTTGGTCTTTGCAGCCACTCCACCAGGAGTTTCCATGTGAAGTGTATGTGCTCAGCAACAGCTCACATTTTGAATTTTCTTTAGATTTTGCAATGAGGATGCCACATGAAATTAATTTCCAGAGAGTGTCAAGCAAGAAGCATTCCTCTTATTTTTTTCAAATGAGAAAAAGGGAGGTACATGGAAAGCGGTGCAGTAGTTCAAAAAAGAGGCTTGAAATCACACAGACCTGAAATCCCAGTTCAAGCACTTGCTAAGCATGAAATCCTAAGCAAGCTTCTTGCCCTCTCAGGGTGTCAGCCTTCTTACCCATAAAATCTGGACAATAATCATATCTACCTCAAAGGTTGCTGTTGGAATTACATGACTTAATACAAGAAAAGTGCTAAGTACAGCTGGCTCAGGAAACAAGGTTTCCATTGCTCCACTGAATCTGTTGAATGAATGTCCACTATTCTGCTGCATATATGTGCTCCAAGCAAACGTTGAGGTTTACCAAAACTCAACATTTAGTTTACTCTAGACACAATAACAGTATGATAAAAAGCTTCCATTTGTTGAATGAAAAATCCTATGGAGTTGCTAATCCTCAACTAACCATCACCCATAAACCCAGTACTGGGTTTTTTTCACCAAGTGACCATGGTAGGAACCGTGAGGATGAAAGAAGAGTAATGAACAAATCATGAGGTTTTCAGTGAATCAAATCACCAGATTTTAGGGAAGAAAAGTGTGTAGCATACAGAAAACGACTCACCGCCAGCCTATTCACATACAACTTTAAATTGTCTAGGAAACGTGGAATGGAGCCTGTTGCTATGAAATTGGAACTAATAGATACAAGTATTATTTCAATTTAATTTTTACAACCTATGAGGTCTGTATTATCATAATCCCCACTTTGCAGATGAGGAAATGAAGCTTTAAAGAAGTTAAGTAACTGAATCAAGAAATCACCAAATTGCTAAGTGGTGGAGCTGGGATTCCGCTGATTCTCTGCTGAATAACTATAGCTTAAATGATAAAATCTGTATATTGATTGAGATTAGGTAGGAAACCAAAATAAAATGGCAATATTAAGAAAATAAGATAAGTACTCTCCAGAAATTCTTTTTTTTCCTGAAGAATTCTTAGTGTATCCTTTGTAGGCAACACCACCAAAGAGGGGTTATCTCAACTTTAAGGATTAGCAGAAAAATGGAAAGGAAATAACTAATGAAAGCAAGAAAAGAGAAAACAGCCTTTCCTTATTTTCTGTTCGTATGTTATTTAGCAATTTGTGGATGGATCTCTGATGTGCAGATGATGTATTTTCTTATATTCTTTCCAACCCTGCTTTCTTCTGCACAGCACATTTGCTCTCTTAATGTTAACCAGCTAGGCTCTAGATTCATGAGTTGTTCAAAAGAATAGTTTTCCTCCACTTTCACTCCATAACTCTTCCATCTTTTCCCCCAGATATATTGGGTTGGACCAATAATAGGAGCTGTCCTCGCTGGTGGCCTTTACGAGTATGTCTTCTGTCCAGATGTTGAACTCAAACGTCGTTTGAAAGAAGCCTTCAGCAAAGCTGCCCAGCAAACAAAGGGGAGCTACATGGAAGTGGAGGACAACAGGAGTCAGGTAGAGACTGACGACTTGATCTTAAAACCTGGAGTGGTGCACGTGATTGACATTGACCGGAGCGAGGAGAAGAAGGGGAAAGACCCGTCGGGTGAGGTGTTGTCTTCTGTATGACTAGAAGATGGCACTGAAAGCAGACGTGAACCCTCAGAACTGTCCTCAGATTTCCTTCCACCCATTAAGGAAACAGATTTGTTATAAATTAGCCATGCACAGGGTTGTTTTTTCATGTCTTATTATTTAGGCTACACAAGAAATATTTCTTTGTCCTACCAAGGAGGAATGGAAGAAACCTATTGTGAATTCCAAATCTAAAAAAGAAGTCTTCTTAAAGTGTCCCCAAAGCAAATATGAATCTAGTTTATCCTGCTGCCATTCATTAATAATCAATTTAAAATGTGTATCAAGATTTGGTTAAGTCTTGCCTGGCAGAACTTAGAGACATACCTATCAGTTTATTCCTCCTCAACCATGATCCTGGGATTGTCAATCCTCATTTGAGTATTTATTCCATTGAGTCAAATTTTTCAATGGCAAGGGACAGTATGTCACAAAGTCACGCACATTCAACAGAGGAAATATAAGAAGCTCTTTTATGGGCAGTCCCTTATTATAAACTACCTCGGCAAGAGAGAATATTAACAACATTTCATTACTAATGAAATGTTTCCATTTTATATGTCAAATACCCAACTTTCAACCTGAACTCCAATTCATAATATTCCTTCCTTTTCCTCAGTGTCCAAGGTAATGTCGACCTAAAGCCCAGAAATTTGAAGAATGTTCAGAAACCCTATATATTTATTGGTTCCATCTAATAAAATATCCAAATCATAAGAAACACCTGTTAAAACAAACAGGACAAACAGACTCATAAGATCTTACTGGAGTGGAGGAAAAATTACCGTTATAAAAAACCATAAGGAAAGAGGAACCTATATTCTGGAATCAAATAGTTGATCTGTTTTCAGTGCACATCCTCAAATACACCACGTGAGGTTAAATATCCAAGCTTTTAACCACTTAACCATGTTGCTTATTTTTTTAATTCATTGGCAAAACTGGGGGTTTTGTTTGTGACTTTGGTTATCTATATGTAAACATTAGCTGAGATTTCTTTTTCATAACAAGAACATAACTAGCTGAATCCTAACTTTTTGTTATTAAGCTCTGCTCACTCTGGAAGGTGTCAAGTGGGGCCCTACCCAGTCCCCATTTCTGCTTCTCTGTCACTTCTCATGAAGTTCGTTGATAATCTTCAGTGTGGCATGTGATGGTATTTTAATGAATGAAAATGCAGAAGAGACAAGGAAGGCCATGGTTGCAGAATAAAAGGGTGAGGACATCAGAACACTCCGTATTCAGAGCTGACTAGACCACCAATCTTTCATTTGTAGAGATACTGTACCTAGGAACCCAACACCATTTTTAAGTATTTTCATTATTGACTCATTTATTTGTCAAGATATCTGTTCCTCCTGAACTGCTCTGCCTTAAGTTAGTAGAATGGTCTCTGGAAACCCCAGTCTCTATCATCTTAACCACCCAGGCTAGACTTTTTCTTAGACAAAGAGCTGCAAATGTCAATTTAATTGAACAAAGAGCTAGTAGGGAAGCGAAAAACCCATCACTGCAAAGAATGGCTTGAAAACAAGCTGATAATCAAGGGCTTTCTTCTCCCACGCACAGTTCCAACTATGTGCCACTTTTTAGTGTTAGTAGCAGGTGTGTGTCTGTGGCAAAGAGATAATGGACCACTATTCAACCTGATTCTCTTCGGTGCTAAGAAAGTGATGCGCGAGGTCTGCAGGGAGGCATCACACCAGAGCAGTGCCTGGGAGTGTCACTGGTGGTTTTCATGGACGATTCCTAACCCCCAGGCCCCTTGCTCAGATGTGTGGCCAACCACACCCTCCACCAGGGAGACCCATTGTTTCCTGTTTGGGGCAGCATCTATAGGAAGTAGAGTAAGATTCTAATGATGGCTTATGCTTGTCTTTTCAAACGTTTGTACGGTATACCACCGTACCAAGTGGCTTAAAATCGGGGGAGGGGAGTTGTAAGCTCAAAAGATAATGCTATCAACCAGGGCAAACATGTCAGCTCAAAAGTTAACAAGGAAAAGTTAAACAGATTTTTCAAATATGCTTACAATTTGCTGGCTTACAATCGATTTTATTCAGCCATATGTTTTACTTCTTATACACTCACTTTTATACTCACTTCCAGTTAAAGTATTTAATAAGTTAGTGCTTAAAAAAAAATAGGCATGAATGATGTTTTTGTAAATTGTTTTCCAGCAACCAGCAGAGTGCCTGGCACTTAGTAGGTATGTGTTAGTTAATAAAAATATATGAATTTCATTTAGGATTTAAGAATGTAAGTAACTTTCTTCTAATCTTGCTTTTGCTCAGTATTTAATAAAAGCTTGATTTCAAGGACTACTAAGGGAAGGCAATATAAATGTAAAAACCACAAAATATATTTTTGCATTCTACTATTTCAGAGGCATAGAGTGAATGAAAGCTTTAGCACTTTTTTTTTCCCCTGCATATGAGACAACATATTTTGTATTTCACTCAAGGCTCTGCCAGTAAAAAGTAATGAAATTGTACCTTTCTAATGACATCTATGTAGCAGGGGTCTATTGCCTTGTGGATGGCACCAAATTATCCAAGTGTATTAGGACACAAGGGCTTTTCCCTTTAATCCCTTCTTATTAATGAAGTGCATCGTGCTGCTCCCAGGAGAGGACTGCTGACAGACAGAAAAGAGATCAGAGAGAAAAAACTGGAAGGACATAAATGAATTATACCCAGCCAGGAAGCAATGCCAAGTGTCTCTTCCCTATGGAAAAATACAACAAGCACCCCAAAATTGTGAGATGGTCCCTACAATGAAAATGTATATAGTTTGTCAAAAGAAGTACAAAGGGTAAGAGTCGTTTTTAAGTTTGGGGGGGCTTTCTTAAATATTTGGGGCCCAGCATCTGAATGTATTTTTTCATTGTTGAAGTTGGCTTTTCTTTTTTCCCAAGAGTCCTAAACTTTTACACTGGAAGGAAATATTTTCTGGTACCTAAACTGTTGCCTAGATGTAAGATTCCTGTACTTTGTGTCTACCACTTGATGCTTTTCATAAATTCTTCCCCTTTCTGACTCTTCTCCTAATGTAGTTGATATGTCCTAGCTGTCACTCAGTCTGAAAAAAAAAGGGATTAGAAATATCTGAATAACATAGATGATGGCATTAAACTATCTGATTAATTGTTAAAGGTCTGATTCCAAATAGGACAGACTATTCTTCTTAGGCCGTGAAACCCTGCAACTTAACTTACTGGTTTCAATTCAGTAACGAACAGGAAAATTCCAAAATAGAGTAGCAAACTGAAGCACTAAAATTAATCCTGTTGAGGCCCTTTGTTGCATCGTGTTGATATTATCCCTGCGTGTTGTGAACATTTGACAGAGAAATTGCCTTTGTGACAACTAGATGACAGTAGGAGCTCAAGAGACAGCCTTATCAGATGATACAAGGCCAATATAACTTGTCCTTATAAGCACTATAGAATGGGCAAACTCAGAATATCTTATGCCTGAAAGTAATTCTGTCTTTATGTTTATGTTCATGGCATCAAAATTTTTAGGAAGACGTGACTACTATCTGGAAAGTGCACTGAACAAAACTCACTTTCTTTACCACAAATTTTGCGTGCTTGCATTGTATTGTAATACTTTATAGATCACCCCAAAATAGCAGTAACTTTTGAAATTTGTAGTTCTCTGAAATACATAGAAGACATTTAATTCAGGGCTCAAAAACTGTGGCCACTCACTTTTGCAGATGACCATACCCTATGAAAGCAGTTATAGTGTCACCCACACCTGTTAAAATCCAAGAGCTAAAAATTACACCTAATTTATATAACCCGTTGGAATATATTTTTAGATTCTCTTCAGGATTAATTAGATAACCATGCAGTTTATGAAAATCTAATTGTTTATCACTTTTATGACCCAAATCACTATTGTAATTCTTGATAAACTGGTGAGAATAAACTAAGCATATGGTTATATTCACAATTATTTATTAACGGAAATATTATCCCAACATCAGAGCTAATGCTGAGATTTAAACTGTAATGTCTAAAATGTCTAATATTTGGAATAATCTATTAAATATTAGCATTGTAGTTGATTTCCATGAATTGCATTGTATCTCATACTACTAAGTTTGTGCAAATAAACTTTTAATGTTTAAAAAGTAAGCATTGCATCTGATAATGTTTGAAAATCCACTCATAGTTTTTTCAAGTTAGATCTTGCAAGCATCCTTTAGAATGACCCAAAGGTTTAGATATTTGAGTATAATCAACACCAAATGAAACAGTGGTGGGATCTATATAATGAAATGCATTTTTTGGAAGGCTGCAGAGGATACACTATGGTAGGCCCTGATGGACACAGTGAAAATTGTACTTTAGTGGGCTTACTTCTAAATGTTCACATCCATGCAGAATAGGCCATTGAAGATCAGCTATCATTACAGTGAGTCTGAAAGTGAAGACTTTATCAACTGTGACTCGGATGAGGCTGGTATTGCTAAATAGATGATCCATCCTTAGGGCATTTGGCAGAGTCTGCCTACCCAGATGGAAAATGTAGGCACAGTGAATACTGGAACACTCCCTTGGGTTCTTAGTTTGAGGGGCTCCTCAATTTTGAGAGGCTATAGACCCTCAGGGAAGAATTGAAGACAATCATTTGTGTAGTGTGCAACCCATCAGATGAGTAGTGAATGATGCCTTCGGAGCCAGGTGGACACATACCTCTCTTAGAGCATTTGTCAGTGTTCGCCAATATAGCAATGGCAGTATTTCACATTGTAGTGAAATAGCTTGTGTAGGTATCTGTCTCCCCTACTAGCTTCTAAACTCCTTAAGGGCTAGGATGATATTTTATTTCTTCCGTATCCCCCACCCGCAGCACTGAGCACCAGGCTTGACATTTCGCTCAATATATGCTTGTTGCATGAATGAATAAAGAACTTAAGGAGTATCTCACAATCACGAGGAAATACTACAAAGCACTGTACCTCAATCTAGTTGCTTTTGCCGTTGTGTAGATGTGTGCTAAGTATTTGAATTCTTATAGTTCCAGTTAGGAGCCTGAAAGTAGCTCAAGCACTAAAGAAAAAGCAAAGAAAAAATGCACAGAAAGAATAAAACACTAATTGGATTTCTAAAATTTATACCTAATGGGTAGGCAACAAGACATGTTTTCATTGCTGTATTTATACAATGGCCAGATGTTAAACGAAATTTAGCTCAATGAGTATTTCAGCAAGAAAAGTATTTTAACAAGCATGGGAAGCTAGAGATATAAATGTCAGCCTGATTTTAGATAATTATCCTGCTTGGAAAATGTCCAAAATAATATGTCACCTGAATAATTCTTACTATTTTTTTTCATTTGTCTACCTCTTCACTCCTCAGGTTTAAGGAGACATTGAGAACTTTAGAAAGCTGAGTTGAGTTCTCCCTCCACATAGTCAGAAACCTCTGAGAAACCGTGGCACTGATTTTTGAAAGCTTTATGCATAGCATAGTGATAGCACATGGCTAGTGCTC